CAAATTTCTGCACGAACTCAAATTTGCAGGAATTTGCAAGTTTCCCTGCCCGCTAGTGTCCATTGGTTGCATTTCAAACATAATAAATTTTTATGGAATTTTCAAAATTCTTTCAAATGGACAAAAACAGGATATACATGTATATTCCTTGTTGTTCTAACTTTCTTTAACATACATTTCAATTTCATTATCGTACTAGCTGGCGGGCTTCTTAAATCGACTCTGGTTGCAATTGCATTCCGATTGCGAATACAATTTTTTTCGGCCGAGTTAAGTTCAAATCATTGGAATTAACTAAATTAATTATATCAACAAGTGTTTACTTCATTTTTTCATAAAAAAATCGCTCGTGTTTACAAATTTTTAAATTTAACGAACTTAATTATTCAACTTATCGTGGACGAAAATGCAACCATGCGCCACAATCACATGTTTTTCGTGTTTGCGAATTCTTGCTGGCAAAATTTTTTCCAGCAAGAATTTGGGCATACATCAAGATAACCAACCATTCAGCTATAGAAAAACTAAAAATGCAGAACGCTAGTACTTTTTACGATGATTTTAACTATATAAATATTATTTGCCGCAATTAAAAAGTAAAGTAGATATAAGAGGTAAAACAAAAAAAAATTTGATATTTTAATATATTAATATTTTCCAAACTGCGTAACCGATTCAAAAGATAATGATGTCAAAATAAAGACAATTAATTTATCTTCAAGTTGATATATAAAATGTGTATGATTGTCTATATATTTGAGCCAAAAATATTATAAAACAAAAAAAATGTCATAATTTTTTCCTAAAAGAGACTTTTTTTAAGAAAAAGTCCATTATCAATGCTAAAAAGTTTACATCATTTAGAAAATGCAAGTATTTGCCTTTAATTTGATATACATATGTATTATATTATGATTTGTTTTTGAGTTTTCAGAATTCAGTTATAATAAAAAATATAAATGCAAGTATGTGCAAATGCATATTGTAGTTAATTAAACAAGGCGAGTTAACGGATTTTTTTGGAAGGGGTACTGTTTTTGTTGCAAGCGAGAAATTTATTCTACTTAGTGAGGGTTATAACCCCTAAGGGCGGCCGAAGGCCGCCTACGGAGACAGGTGTTCTCTGCAAAAGGTGTTCAGCTCCAATTCTTCGGCAACACAGAAAAGGGAATTCTACTTAGTGAGGGTTATAATGCCAGGCCGCCTGCGCAGAAAGGTGTTCTCAGCTAAATGTATTCCCCCCCCCTTCTTCGGCAACACAGAAAGGAGAATTATACTTAGTGAGGGTTATAATCCCTAATTCCGGCCGAAGGACGCCTACGCAGAAAGGTGTTCTCAGCAAAAGGTGTTCAGCCGCTCTTCTAATGCAACGCAGAAAGAAGTTCTGGGCAAAAGAAACTATGATATCACCCACCCTTGCCACTTGCTTGTAAATGCTTTTAAGTTTTTTATCACTGAATTCTTAAACCTCAAAAGTAGATCATAATAAAATATGTATATCAAATTAAAGGTAAGAACTTGCACTTTATAAATAGTGTATATGTCTTCAGCATTGATTATGCACTTTTTTCCAAAAAAGGTTATTTTATGAAAAAATTATAACATTTTATTTGTTTTTTTAATATTTTTGGCTTAAATATACATATATACAAGCACTCACATTTTATATATCAACTTAAAGATAGATTGCCTTTATTTTAACTCCATTACTTTATTAATCGGTTACGTAGTTTAGTATATATTAATATTTTAAATTATCGCAAAAACATTTTAACCTCATATCTTCTTTACTTTTTATTTGCGGTAAATAATATTTATATAGTTGAAATCAGCGTAAAAAGTACTATCGGTTGTTGTTGTTGTTGTTGTTGTAGCGGCTACAACAACCCCGCCCAGATC